TTAATGTTTTTGAAAATATTTTTTCACATAGTTTCGAGTTATTAAATAAACAACGTTTTTATTAAAAAATTATATTTTTAAATATTTTTATCCTTATAATTTTTTAAGTTTTTTACTTTTTTGAATGTCAGAGTAGAGTTTTAATTTCATTTTCCAAATCAGAATATTTTTCTAAGTATTTTGATACATAAAAATCGAATTTAGGACGAGTAGTTTATGAGTTATAAGTATTTAAAGTTTAGACAAGCGGGGTAGTGGACAAACATTTTGCGTTGTAACCACATACCACTCCATACCCATACCCCTAACCCCATACCATCTAAACTTTAAATACTTATAAGTTATAAGTTATAACTCATAAACTACTCTCCCTAAATTCGATTTTTATGTATCAAAATACTTAGAAAAATATTCTGCTTTGGAATATGAAATTAAAAATTAAAACTCTATACTGTCATTCAAAAAAGTAAAAAACTTAAAAAATTATAAGGATAAAAAATATTTAAAAATATAATTTTTTAATAAAAACGTTGTTTATTTAACAACTCGAAACTATGTAAAAAAATATTTTCAAAAACATTAATACTTTTTGAGATAATGAGTGTTGTACGCTTAATGAATCACCCTGTATTATATAATATAATAATAAATTTATTTTAAAATGGATTGTGTGTATTTTTCTTTTATATATTTTTTAATAACCGTTATCGGCAAATGTTGTTTAGTATCTACAGAAATTAATCAAAGCAGTGAACTTCAGTGAGCCATGTCATCATCAGTTAGTTCTTCAGGTTCAGATAGATATACTAGCTGTTTGTATTTCAAAGATAGTATTTCGTTTCACAATACTTGTTACTTTTTAAAATCCCATATATTTTTCAATTACAGCATCAAATTTTCAGAAACTACTATTATCTCCACCAATTTCAATTTGTACTCCTAGTCACTTCCACATTTACGAAAAACGTCCTAAAAATGCCAAATGAAAGATTAATTTATTTTTCTTTAATTTATGTTATGAAAATAATTATTTAACTTTTTGGTTTGGCTGATGAGGGAAGTAGTTATTATTTATTAATAATACGAAACTAGAAATTTACCTATACAAAGAAATACGTAATACCATTTTGTTGTAATTCAAAATATTATTTGTGGGGACTATGGTATTATATATTATGCACAGTAAATAATTAAACTCACAGTACCATTTTCAAATGCAATGATTTCGGAAAAAGTTAATTTAACCTACCGTATGAATATAATAAAATAAATTATTTTAATAGCAATAAAAATATATTATTAAGTATCCTTAGTAGTATAGGATGATAGACGACTTTCGCTCAGAATAATTTTTCGGGTACAATGATTTATTGTTGAATTCAAATTTAACATAACCATTACAGTGACCTACTAAATTACCAGGTACACTCTACAGCCACTTTAAAGTAAATCGGTTATCTCTTTGTGTTCATTTTTTCTTAATTCCTAAAAGCACACAATATTTGAATCCATTTAGCTTTAAAAAAGTTGGAATTTTCTTGATTAGTTTTGATTCTTAATTCAAGGACCACAATACATTTTTATGAATCGTTTAAATTAAAAAAATGTTAATTTTGATAATATAATATTTTTTTATGTCTTAAATTCTAACAGAATTGTTAGTGAGATATGGATTTTCAAGTATGTATATGTTTATGATAACAACAATTTTTGTTGTAGCTTTTTATTATAAAAACATGTTGTCAATAGCCAGTTCAATATTTTAACCAGGGCTTAAAACATTTGCAATAAATCGATAGTGAATTTTTTGCACGGTACGCCATGTAAGTGGTGTCCCGATAACAACGATACGCAAGTTACGGCCCGTTATTTCTCAGGTACATAGGTTGTGGACTTGCTTTTGTCATTTATACGTTAAATGGGTCTGACAGAAAATTGGCATATTTCGAGAGCAATGCCGGTTTAATCAAAAACCTCTATCAATGGACGTAGAGTCCTCAAATAACTATTTGGTCGAATCTAAATATTATATTTAACCAAACCAAAGCAATCGGTTTTTTCCAAAAATTCTCTATGCTTTATCATAAGTAAAAACTACATCAATACGGTCCGACGTTCGATAATTGATTCCGGTCCGGCTGGTCGTGTTAAGGGTGTTAAGGGTCTTCCTCTAATTTTCATGCTTGTGGTTACAATCGGAATTCAGGAAATATGTTTAATTTACTACCACTTTTAGTAGTTTCTATAGTTATGCAAACAAAAATAATATATTTCTTTATCATTGTGTATGTTCTCGCGTACGAGAATCACGGTGGTGGTTGCCTGATGTGGCATGATAGCGATTCTCAGAAACACACATTAATGTTCATTTATTATTTTATTACTCACACATTTTATACTCTATTCCAAATGAGTTCAGTACTGGGTAGCCTAGTTATGCGCATGGGCTTGGATTCGTTCCCAATTCCAAACCAGGTGGTTTACTTGGTGGGAGAAGTATCTGACCACCGCCGGTAAAAAACAAGTCACCACACTGTACTAATCACTCTTGGAACAGAGCATAGACATATCCCAAATTAACATGTCATACGAATCGTCCAACTATTACTCCTTAAAAAATTATGCGATCCAGTCCCCTTAACCCTGCAACCTAATAATTTATTAATGTGTATGAATAGCATTGAAAAAATCTATGAAAATGTACTTTTGAATTTCTAATAAAATGGTTTATTGAATGATTTGAGAGTAAATAAACCTATTATCAATATTGTAGAAGAGAAGTTAATGTATGCCTGTATACAAATCAATTTTTGACACTTTAATTAATAAACTCAATAGTTCAAAAAGTAAAATATCACAAGTTTTAGAGTTAAATATTGGACATTAAAAATAAAATATCGAAAATCGACTCCTATACAAACCTAGATAAACTTCTTCTCTTCAATTTACTGTAATGTCACTCAGTAAGCTATAGTATTGGAAATACGAAACTAAGTTTCAGTGTTTCACTAAAATTCACATTTATAATTAGAGTGTAAAATGTTGCGACGTTGCGTTACTGACATGTGCGTGTGTGCTCCACTATTTATTTTATACACAGTCACTTACTACCCACACATTTACATGGCCCGTATGCACCCAAATAGAAAATTGCCTATATTGAACACCTTAGAAACGGTCGGTATGAATACCCCTTAAGATAATATAGTATAATTCAGTATAATCATAAATATAAAATATAGTAGTATTTACTTAAATATGTATACAGTATACCTATTACCTGCATGGCATGACGTATCCGTATTTTGAAATTAAATCCATTTATTTAATACATTATAAATTCATAACTATAATTTATATTACTTATTTGTATATTATTCTAGGAAATAAACTTAAATTAAATTAAATCAACAACGGTATAGGAAAAGTGATATCTAACTAAAAACAAAACTTTCAATTTGTTGTATCGATAAATTAAAATTATAATAAATACTTAACAGGTAAACGGGACAAAAAAAAAAAAAACGGTTCCTCATTGTTCTGAGGTTACCGAGTATTGCTAAACGAACGATTTTCAAAGACGTTGGTTTTTGGTATACGACTTAATAAACATTTGTTAATTGGTTACCGATATCCGCTTTCTAATCTGGCCCATATAATCGTTACTGATTCTTAAAATTAACGGTTTTTAACGATTTTCGGGAAAAATTGAAAAAAACGGTTTTAAGCCCTGATTTTAACAACAACTTTTATTTTTATACTAATAGTTTGGATAAAATAGGTAAAAATATTTTATGATGACCAACATGTTACATAAAATAACAATAAACGTATGATATTTAATTTGTTTAGAAGAACAAGGATTTTTAAATTTCTGTATTATTAGGAGTTTTGGTAAGTAATTTAGACTGAAAATAATCTAATAATTAAAAGTACGTGAATTATCTTTTGTGTGGCTATATGGTAAATGATAGTTACGAAAGTCCTTTCGATAAGTGGAGTTTATAATCATTTTGTCTACTGAAAAAGATTGAAAACGCCTGTGGTGAGTTGGGTATATGCATTTCTGATAGTTTCAAGTAATGATAGCACGAGAGCGCCCTATTTTAAGGTCGATAGGTAACTTAATACACAATACAACGAAGATGACGTGAGTGTTATTGACAAGACAGAGGCGATCACTCACATTATTTTTTCCCATCTAGTGCACCAAGGCCCTGTACTGCGGAGTGCGGAGTTGCCCGATTGAGTCCTGAATTCAGGTAGTCGTATTTCATCCCAAATATAAGTATACTGATTCGGCCCGTCCAATCACATATTGGTTCAAAAAATAGCTTATCTATACTATAAGAGTCTGCTGCACAAAATAGTACTGGTTGGACCTCTCTTTCCTACAAAAATTTTACTGATAACGTTGTCTCTTATCAACATAAAGTGCATGTGCACGTCTCAGCAGTGCAGCCAACTATGTTTTTAATTATTTACATTTTATCACCCAAAGGAAGATCGGGCCGATTGAATTAGTACGATGTGCATCGTACGTCAGTCTAATAATATTATAGTTATTTGTAGTAACTTGTAAGCTCCTTGACATCGTTCGAAGGTACATTATATCACAGAACAGTATAGAATAGACACTCAATCAGCTGGTAGGGCTGATGTATCCCTGGGGTATGAAGTATTGGACTCAAAAAATTGTACCGTATCCGTAATCTGATAAGATGTTGGTAACGTGTATCCCATTTGTTACGAAACAAAACGGAAACAATCCATTGACCACCGACGACGACCGTTTTAATTTATTCAAAGTTTTTTATGCATAGTATTGTCAGTATTGTCACATCTTGTTATGAAATATGAATTAAATATTATAATATTGTTATTTGACATTTTTGAAATAATTTATAATATTGATATGAAATATTTCATTGATAAAGTATACCACGCCCCCGGGAGACCGTCTTAAAGGCCAAAATCATCCGATTTGTCCATAACACAATATGTCTAAATCATTGTTAAAAAGATTAATGAAATACCTCTGGTTGGTTGGAGTAAATTGGGATGAAACAATACCGGAAGAAGCAATGACCTCTTGGACCCAATACCACCGAGAGCTACTCATTCTAGCTACCCTGCAAATTCCTCGCATGGTTACCCATCCAAATGCTACACACGAGTTACATGGGTTTAGTGATGCCTCTGAAGCAGCGTATGCGTCGGCCGTGTATCTAATAATTGATACTGGTACAGAAGTAAAGTGTAATCTCTTGATAGGAAAATCTAGGATAGCACCGGATAAGAAGATATCTGTTCCGAGACTAGAGTTGTGTGGTGCTTGGTTATTAGCTCGTCTCCTTGCGTTTGCGCATGATAACTTGTCCGCAATCAATATAAAAAAGGTTACCACGTGGTCTGAATCCACGGTAACGCTACATTGGATAAGAAGTTCGACCTGACGACTGAAAACATTCGTAGCAAATCGAGTATCCAAAATTCAAGAACAGACTCATGAGGAAAATTGGCATCACGTACCAACCGATGACAACCCAACGGACTGCGCATTCCGTGAGCTCAGACCCCGACCTTTTAGCCAGCCACGACATATGATGGCATGGTCCTCCGTTTTTCCGACAACCTGAAAGAGAATGGCCTTTGGAGAGTACATTGAGTCCTATTAGTTTTTCAGAGGAGGAAAATGAAGGACAACCTATTACACTTTTGTCCCAAGGAAACGAGGAAGACTGCCGGCTTCTTTATCAATCAGAAAACTTACCAAAAGTTTTAAGACTCACCGTCTATTGGTTAAGATTTCGAGATCGTCTTAGGAAAAAACCGTTATTACCGATCACTTCTCCACCTACTACAGACGAAACGGACAGAGCACTTCGAACCTTAGTATGCTGGACTCAAAATATATATTTTTCCGACGAGAAAAAAAGATTTCTGTATGGGAAAACTAGCTCGGAGACATTTAAGAAAATTAACACCGTTTCTGGATGACGACCACTTGCTGAGGGTGGGTGGTCGTTTAGGATATGCCGAAATTCCTTACAATGAAAAATATCCCTTATTGTTACCAAAGTCTGCGCGGTTGACTGAACTTCTTATCGACTCTACCCACCGGAAAAACGGACATCCATTACCACAAACGGTACAATATTTACTACGACAAAATTACTGGATCCTTTCGTCCCAAACTTTCATCAAACAAAGAATTCATCGATGCATACCGTGTTTCCGAGCAAAACCTCGCCTGGCCACACTTATTATGGGCAACCTACCGTCTTTTCGTATTTCCCAAATAAAGCCATTTAGTAGAACCGGAGTAGATTTTGCTGGACCCTTCCAGGTAAAAGCTGCAATGATTCGAAAAATAAAGGTCACAAAGGCGTACATCTGTATTTTTGTATGTATGGTAACAACAGCAGTTCACATTGAACTAGTTTCCGACTTATCGACTCCATTGTTTATAGCTGCGCTTGATCGGTTTATTGGACGAAGAGGTAGATGCACAGACACTCGCTGTGTTGAAAATGCGGTAGATAATCAAATCCGCTGGCACTTCAACCCTCTAGCAACCTCCCATATGGGTGGTTTATGGGAGCCTGCCGTAAAATAAACCAAAACCCTTTTACTACGAATTATTCAAGACAGGGTCCTGACTTATGAAGAACATAATACCGTACTGCATCGAGTCGAGTCAACCCTCAATTCTCGCCCTCTTAGTTCCATGTCTTCCGATCCGAATGATTTCCAAGCCCTCAAGGCAGGACACTTTCTAACTATGGCACCCTTGATATCCGTTCCTGCACCCAACCTTCCGGTTGAACTTGGCAGGATAAGTAAGAGTAAACGCTGGTCATTAATACAACAAATTCACCAACATTTTTGGATCCGGTGGCAAAAAGAGTACATACTATCCCTGCAAGAGAGATCAAAAGAGACCCGTTTTAATCGCAACCTCCAAGTGGGAGACCTGGTATTAGTGAACGAACCAAGTTCCCCTCTGACATGGCCTACAGCCCGAGTGGTCGAGGTTCATCCAGGAGCTGATGGGATCGTCCGAGTGGCAAAAGTAAAGCTTTCAAGGGAAAAAATCTACACTCAGCCCTCGGTGAAACTGTGTTCTTTACCCCTCTCTGATTGAAGACCGGGTCTTGAAGGTGAGGGGTATGTTTGATAAGCGATAAGACATGCCTCGCACCGACACCGGAATCACGACCAGTACCTACCCGACCCACTGGCGGTGCGTGAGTGTCGAGACTTCGGCATTTTACCGTCTGATTGTTTTTTGAGTTTTCTATTTTCCGTTGGTTGTTTTTACCGTTTGTACCCCGTTCGTTGTCACCGTCACCGTAATTGTAACCCTCACCGTCATATTGTCACCTTAGACAAAAAACTTCCAAGCGAGCACCAGTGGGTCACCGTCACCGTCATCGCCTGAAAACCTCAGTGCAACACCACCACCGTATTCAACAACACGGTTTTCTTATTTATTTATTTCTTAAAAAACTATTGTGAATTTTATTAGTTGTTCCCCGCTGGCCAGCACGCATTTGTGTCCCAATTATTTATTATGTTGTTTTTTGCTTGAATAGTAATCCGTAAAAAAACACGGCAAACCAAAACCTCGAGCTTGATTTATTGTGAAACCTATACCCTAATTTACAGTCCACTTTATCCTCGAATTACCGAACAAACCTAATAAGCAATATTTAACATCACAAGAGGTATGTCCCACCACTTGCAATCGTACATTTGTTCTTTAATGGACAGGAAATTATATACACTATCATGGCGCCGCTATTATTTTTACTTAGCTCGCGCCACGACTGTGGAGATGGATAATGCTAATTATTATTTTATGCATTTGTCGGTGATTTACACGCGTGGATGGTCGTCATGAAAAACTGACTAACCCAGACGATATTGGACAGTTTAAAACTCATTTAAAAAAAAAATACGGAATTCCCAAGGATTTAAACAGTGAGTATTCACTTTTTAGAACATGTTTACAAATATATTAAACTAAAATTAAAATTAAATACATATATGAACACAATATTACAATATAATTATTACTCTTGCTTCCTTATTAATTCTGGACATATTTTTGATGTCAAATTGTAAGCCCATAAAGACGAGTACCAATATCAATATCAATACCAGTATCAATATCATTATAATTAATATGACAAAACCTAACCTTACAATTTACATAGAGTTTTCTTTACGATTATGATGCATATATTAAATAGATTTCAAGAACATTGTTATGAAGCTTAAAATACTAAGAGTTGTTATCAGAGTAAATTATATAGTAGTATTATCGAAAAATTAAAATCATAAATTTTATAACTTTTTTTAATAGATATTTTATTAGGTATATAACATTTTGTGTAACCAAATATAATATATATCACTACAATATTACAATATGATTATATATATAAAATTAACAATCAAATATATATGTAATATCAAAGATAAGGTTCTGAATTTTAAATATTTCACTTGAAATTTGAAAATGTCACTTTTCTTAAAATAAACGTTTTTGGTAACAAATGATTAGAAAGAGTTATTTATTACACACAGAAAATATTGATAATGAATAACTTATCAATCAAGGTTTACGAATTATTATAATGTTAGTGGTTATAAATAATTGGGTACAAATGGTGTTATAACATAATATAATTATCGGTTAATTTATCATTTATAAATTTGGACCTTGTTGGCTATTAATTATGGATTAATTTAAACCAACTTTTAAAAATGTTCTCTCGTTGTAAATTGATGAATTTAGACTTTGAGATATAATAAGCAAATTGGTAAATCTTAAGCTAAATAATTAGCTATTGGGCTATAAAGCTAAACAATTTTCACTTGACGGAAAAAAAAATATCTTACAATTATCTGCAGAGTAGCGAAAGAGACTTTTACAATACATAATTAAAATTAACATATTCTTATTTTATTTTGTAATAGTGATTCAAGATAATGAAAAAAAAGGTAAAACCATGAACTACAAAGCTACTTTTAAATTTTCACTCTGCAGAAAAAAATGTTATACAATTAAGACTTTATAATAATATAGGGAACTGATTTTGAAATATTTCATGATTGTAAATTTCACTCTTCTTGATATATTTCAATTTCAACAACTTTTAAAAATGTTCTCTTGCTGTACATTTATGAGCTTATAACTATAATACTATATACTATACTTTAAGACATAATACACAATTTTTTTTTTTTTGAAATGTATTTCTCTAGAACTAGATATTGTATATAAATTCTTCAATGAAAACGGGATAATTGCTGTTAGTGGTAAGTATGATTCTTCAATAAAATTGTTTTTATAATTATTTAAATAAATAATTCATAGTATTTACCTCAGTAATATTTGTATTAAATAGTTATGTTTGAAGAATTAAATATTTTTGTTTATAAATTATAATGTATGAACGGGCATCGTTAATACTCAAGCCCGGACACCAAATTTCTAAGGAATACCACTAACACCTAGACTCTAGAGCAGGAGTCTATAACCTCTCCGGCCCGCCAATATTTTTTCACTGGACCGCCAAGCTAATTAATGTTTTGAAAATAATATATTTATTATATTATTTTCTTTTGGTGTTCTTCGTAACAGCATATAATAGTTATTTATAACTCTATATACTAAGTAGTAACACTAACTAATAATAGAAAAACTAACGTACGTTTGGCCGGCCCCCCCCCCAAAGGAAAAACTGTAAACAAACTATACAGATATTTAGCACGTAATTCGCACGAATTCGCACGACCTTCCTTCCCCTAGAAAAACAAAAATTCATGGGGGGGGCTGGCAAAACGTTTCGCCAGCCCCCCCCCCCCGGAGGTCCAAATTAACATTTTCGCAAATTTTCTTCTGCAGACATTTAGCACGTAATTCGCACGAATTCGCACGCCTGGTTTGAAAATTCGCACGACCTCCCTTCCCCTAGAAAAACAAAAATTCATGGGGGGCTGGCAAAACTTTTCGCCAGCCCCCCCGGAGGTCCAAATTAACATTTTCGCAAATTTTCTTCTGCAGATATTTAGCACGCAATTCGCACGAATTCGCACGCCCGGTTTGAAAATTCGCACGACCTTCCTCCCCTCCAAAAACAATAAAATCATTTTTTGTCAAGAGAGATTTTTTATTCAATCAAGATATTTTCCATTGTACTTAGAATATTTTCTTATTAAATACAGTTGTCTATTAAGTTTTTTATTTAATATGGATTGTATATTAAAAATAGATTTTTTTTATTAACTGCAGGTATTTTACTAAAGTTTTTTTTATACATTTTTTATTCAACTAAGCTTTTTTTTAGGTTATACGCAATATTGTAATTAAATATTTTTCCAAGCTTACCATTATAATCTTGATTGAATAAAAAAGCCTAGTTGAATAAAAAATCTATAAAAAAAACCTGAGTAAATTACATTTAGTTAATAAAAAAAAAATCAATTTTTAATAAACAATCTATATTCTATAATAAATAAAAACTGTATTCAATAAAAAAATAACGTAAGTAGAATAGAAAAAATCTTAATCTAATAAAAAGTCTATCTTGACAAGAAACCTTAATAAAAAATCTATGTTGAATAAAATATAATCTAATTTTTAATAAAAAATTTGATTGTATACAAAATCTAAAAAAAATCCTTCGTAGAATGCTTATAGTTAATAAATAAACAATCAATTTTTAATAAACAATCTATTTTAAATAAAAATCTATATTTGATTAATGAATCTATATTAAACAAAAAAACCATGATAAAAAACTGTATTCAATAAAAATAATCTAAGTAGAATAGAAAAAAATTGTATTAAATAAAAAAGCCTAGGTGATTAAAAAATCTATAAAAAAAAGCCTGAGTAAATCACCCAGTGGTCGGGAATGGGAACAGTAGACAAACAGTAGTGGATCCAAGGGGGGCAAATGGGAGCATCCCCCTCCCCAACTACCGTAGTTTCCCTTTGTTTTACACTGTGTTTAGCCAACTTTGTGGCCAATTTAAGCCCTAGATCCACCACTCCAGCTAAATACTGTCGAAATACGTGATGCGTGTTATTGTGCAAAATGTGTATTATGTGTAAGTGTGTAATGTATTTATAAAGAAACTTCCACTGACAGGGCTCAAAATTCCCCTCCTTATACAAAATATCATATGGACCCAGGGGATTTTCCCAAATAAATGGCGCAACACAAATGTAGTAGGTTCCTATCCCCAAACCATGTATAAGCAAATTTGACATCCAAAACTATGCACCAATATCATTAGCACACTACGCAAACTAATTGAAAAATATTAAATAAACACCTAATCTGGACCATAGAATCATCAAATGTCTTACCAAAGAACATCGTGTCTTTAAAAAAAAAAAATCAACAATAACGCTTTATCTACACTACATATTGAAATTTGCTCGACGATCAGAAGCAACCAACACCTTATCACAATATAATTGGATATCACAACATCGTATATACTACTATCTGGAAAAGAGAGTATTAATAATACTCCATTCATGGAAAATAAATAGTAACCTCCTCAACTTTATAAAAAACATCCTAATAGACTAAAATGTTGTGTCAGAACCTACGAGTTACGACTAGACATCATCACCACACATAATTTAAAATGGATTTCCACTGTACTCAGTGTCACTCTTTTCCTGGTAGTCATAAATTATGTATACAAAAACCTACCCAATCCTATCAAATTTATGGACAATTGGCCATGGTTAACGTCTTCTAAAATGCATTGATTTCTTCAATTACCTTAAATTACCTTCTAATACCTCACCAACATTTAGTAAACATGTTGAATTAATTCCTTCAGTAACAACCCAATCAAGTTTACTTCCTTATAAACATAGAGTCCCTGGTACCAATGGTATATGATTCGCTTCCATTACTTTAAAGAAAATGCCAAACCAAATCAACAGATCGACCGGTCCTGATTCACAGGACTTGTCACGTGTGTAGGGGTGTAGAGGTGGTGAGTGGAGGTTATGACGGTATAATTTGGTATAATGATCCATGCTTCGAGCCCGAACAATGTAAGAAGTGAACAAGGAAACCCAACAGAATACCGCACTTATTTTTAAAT